TTATTATTTTTACCAAAACTTATGGTCTGAGTGACTATTGAAATATTACGACTTATTAGTAATCTCAAAATCCTATTATAAATAAAATTTTTACGATATTATTTAAATATCGATAATACAGAAAGTGACTATCATGACGACAAATTTAAGTATTGAAAATTAACCTTGTTATTATCTCAATAAGTTATTTATTGTCAATTGAACATATAAACATTGTTACATCTAACAAACAAAACCTATGATCATTGTCGCCGGTATAAACTTATAATACCTTGTTATTATCTCGAATTTTATTCCAAAATTTCCGTTTTACATTTGTGGGGTGTCCTTGGAACAGGAAGGATACATAGTACCACCAAAGTCAGAAGTCAAACCGGTCCCCGTCGACAAACTACCAAAGCCCATCGTCTTCCACGACGGCCGGCTGGTCCAAAAGCCCACTCCTTTAACGGCGCTCTTCATCGTCCTATGGATCCCCGTCGGCTTCCTCCTGGCCTGCGTCCGCATCGCCGCCGGCTCGCTCCTCCCCATGCCCCTAGTCTACCACGCCTTCTGGGCCCTCGGTGTCCGCGTCCACGTCAAGGGCAACCCGCCGCCGACAGTCAAAGCCGGCGAACAGACGGGAGTCCTGTTTATTTGCTCCCACCGCACTTTGCTCGACCCGATCTTCCTCTCCACCGCCCTCCGCCGCCCCATCCCCGCCGTCACCTACTCTCTGTCGCGCCTCTCCGAGCTGATCTCTCCCATCAAGACCGTCCGGCTGAGCCGGGACCGAGCCGCCGACGCCGGCATGATCAAGAAGCTTCTGGAAGATGGGGACCTCGTCATTTGCCCCGAGGGAACCACATGCAGGTACGTTATTTGATTTCAAAGTGGTGGCACTGGCAAGTTACCTAACTAAACTATAAGCCTAATTCTGCATTACCACTATAAGTTTACTTAACCGAGCTAAACCTAGTTTGCCTAACTTAGGTCGACAAGTCTAATAACAAACCCTAGTGGCTAGCTAGTGAGCTTAAATAGCAACCAAGAGAAGAAGAAAAAAAAGATTACTTATCCTATGCTAATTAGGGTATACATATAACATCAAACCTAACACATGTTGGTCCATTAGAATGTCGAGTTTTAGTACATTTTGACATTTCTATGACAATAAATGTTGAAAATTTGATTCAACCGGACTAACCAGACCGATTTGAACAAATGTTATCACATGTTGCATGGCAAAGCTTTGGCATGGCAGTTAGCCAGGAAAGCAATGTTTCATTATTTAAAATTAATGGCATGAAAGCAACGCGCGTGTTGTTATTTTTAAGTTAATGGAACAAAACTACCATGAATTTGAAATGGATAACTTATACGTCAATTGTTTGATATGGTAGTTTTTCCTTGGCTTTGAAATGAATGAACATTTACGTCCTTTGGCTACATGGAACCTCCTCCTTATCACCACCTGGACGGTAAGTTTTGTTTGGTAGAAAGAAGATGTGCCTTGGTCAAATGGGAAAAGATACTTCTTCTCCAAATAATTGCACGTTGCAAATTAACCGGATACCATGAAACTATACAATGTTTCAGAAGTTGGGCGGTTAGATGTGAACCGAGGTGATGCTTCTCTATAAAGAGATGGAATCGGCTGGTGGGAGGAGACACCAAAACAAAATCGATTCTTCTTCCTACTAAACTTCTAAGTATGCTTTAGGTACCTAAACCTGAAACTTAAAGTGGTGATAGTTTTATCCTATGAAGAAATTTTCTGTAACCCTAGACTTGTGGAGAGTGAAAATATTCTTTACGGAAAGTGAACGTAGTTCACGACTCTATTATAATCCTAGTCACCCGATCTCGAGCTATCGTACTTGTACCCTCGTCCCTATATAGTCCCAACAATAAACGTCTTTTGTAAATAAATAAAAGAAGACTCAAGTTTAGAACTTTTGTAAGAACGTATCAAAGTTTGTATATAACGAAATGTGCTCTGGTTTCTTAACATCATATAAGAACTTTTGGTAGAAAAAGTAATATCTCATTATGTACAATTCTAATGTCTCGTCATTTGGATGAGCATATAAATTCATTAGACAATATTCAATATTTTGATATCTGCTTCCCCATACAATATAAAATATTTTCATTATCCCGTGTTCCTAAATCCATATATTTTGTACTTTGCAGGGAGCCGTTTCTGTTGCGGTTCTCGGCGCTGTTCGCGGAGCTGACCGACGAGCTGGTTCCCGTGGCGATGTCGAACCGGATGAGCATGTTCCACGGTACGACTGCTCGAGGGTGGAAAGGGATGGACCCCTTCTACTTCTTCATGAACCCTAGCCCGGTGTACGAGGTGAGGTTCCTCAACAAGCTGCCCTACGACTTGACATGCGGCGCCGGCGGGAAGTCGAGCCATGACGTGGCGAATTACATCCAGAGGGCGATCGCCGCCACGTTGTCGTACGAGTGCACCAGTTTCACCAGGAAGGATAAGTACAGGGCGCTTGCTGGGAACGACGGGATTGTGGGGGATAAGAAGGTGGCTAATGGCAGTATGTCACCAAATAAGGTCATGGGGTGTTAAAGGGCGCCATTGATCAAATATTGAACAAATATAGTGTACACATACGATGATGTTACGAAGATGCGCTTGTTATTAGTGGGGTGTTTTGTTTAGTATAATCCAGTGTCCAAGAAAGATGGGATTTTGATAGTAGAAAGATACATTTACATGCTGATAAATTGGAAGCGGAAAATGAAAATGTGTTTACCACGGTTGATAGTGAATCATATACTTGATATTTTATGAAAATTGTGGTGTACGTTGATTAAATTCTTAAGGATAAATATGGTATGGTCGATACATACTCAACTCCACGTGCCATTTCGTGGCAGCGAGATCTATTAAATTTGGGGAGTACATGCATCATTAAATATATATTTTCATGGCCTAGCACTCAATACTGGGGGAGACTTCATCTCCAGCACTCGCGGTGCCTCCGGGGAACACCAAGTAGTGTAACGGGGTTCGAATTTGAGACCTCACGCATCTCAAACCCGAAAGATTTTATGGGTGGGTTATCTGAAGATTGCTTTTCACAAGAGAAGAGAATGAGGATTTTGTTGAGAAGGTAGAGGGAAGGATGAAATGAAGTGTCTTGGATGGAATCGTCATGCAACAAATGGGCTCAGGTAAGCAGAAGCCACTATTGAAATGGTTGGGTTAATTTATGAGGGAACAGTTTGCCTCATTAGCCCAACCTAAATCGATTGGCACACAAAGCTTTGAGAGCTATACTTAGTGTTGTGTAATGGTTTGGTTCGTACAGGACTATACTACACCAAATCAAATCGAAGTTTAGACCGGATAAGATCGAATTGAATATTATGCGCGGTATGCTCATTAATCTAATGAATTTAATAAATATATAGAAATAAAATGTAATGCATTGACATTTGAATCGGATCAAACCGAATTGGATGCAGTGATGGTCCAGTACTTGGTTCTAATATGTCTTTCACTAATAAGTAATAATTGCAACTATCATTAGTTTGGTCCGGACCGTACCATTGCACACCCTTAGTTATATTCTCCTTCATTTGAAACCCATATAACAAAGAACATAGAAAGAATATAAACGAAAAGGCATAAAAATCTACCACCACCTTATTATATTCATTGAACTTGTTCGTTACTTAATTTCAAACCGAATATATAATATCCCTAATAAAAGTTAACCATAATTTTATTGAAGTCCCATAACTTAAAAACCCATATCTAAGTGCGATTGTCCATACTACAACCTTATCGATGCCCATTTCATTAAATCTCGTCAGCTACAATTTCATTGCAAGGTTGAGTGCCGTCTAAGGAAGGGTAAACCATTGTTAAAAGTGAAAGCGAGAGAACCCAAAGCAGGAATATTTGTGCCAATTACAAAACACACCATAAATCGAACAAACATTACATTTCAGTCTTACTACTTAACCAAGTTTTATGTTCAACAAGCTCTTAAACTAGAGCATGGATATCTATTATGTCCAGTTTGAATACCAACTTTGTAAAACAAAGCTTTCTTTAACTAGAGGAATGAACATGTAAGACTCTAACTAAACAATCTGGGATCTTGTTTCAATTACCAAGACAATGTAATGAGTGTGTTTACACTTTACAACGTTCTTGAATTATTGAATTACTACAGAGAAGCTATCAGAAAACACAAGATTGAGAACTCTGAATACAACACAAGACAAACAGGTAAACCACTTCAACATATTAACTCGATGTGTTGCTTCATATATAGTTTTATAATGAACCAAATTTATCTAATACATCCATTGATTATAATATAATAATATGATAAATCACATAATGGTTTGATAGTTAACGAACCAACGTCCTAGATCGAAAAAGCTATATGCAATTGAATGATAAATAAGAAAATAAAAATCTAACATGATTTTGTCTCTCTAATTTCCTTATATATAATATTTTTCTCTCTTGCTTTGGTGTTTTTAATTTATCCACTCATGGCGTCTATTAACCAACAATGACATCATGAACAAAGCAAATGTGTTATAAACATGATCACTAGATGAACTCCATATATAATTATCTATTCTCATTCAAACAAAGCTTTACAAAATCTAATCAATCTTTCAAAAAAATCTAATCAATATGATAAGCAAATGTGTTATAAATATGATCACTAGATGAACTCCATTATAGAATTATCTAAGATATTTACAAATCAATATTCAATAGTCTCCTAGTCATTGGTCCTTATCATATGATTAATCAGCTAAACAATAATTATGATTATGACATTATGAAATCAAATTATTTGAACTTCCCACCAAAGAAACAAAAAGTTCAGTTTGAGCATCAGCCAATCAAAACCCACCACCTCTCCAGAAAAGGAAATATTTAAATAACTTTCCCCTTTATTTTTTCATTTTTTGGATATAAAGTTTCTTCCTTTTCTTTTATCGTCGGCAAATTCGACGGAGAACTGCCGGGCACGCCCCCCGCCCCCACTAACTCAGAGTAAATAGTGATGGCCGAGAGCAGAAGAACCAGCCAACTCCCAGACCGCGTAGGACCCACCCCTGCTCCCTGTTCAACCAAACGAGTGAACCTACCGTTTCCGCGCGGCAGCCATTACCATTACCAAGCTGGCTGCCTGCCTCTCTCTCTTCCCCGTTTTTTCCTCGCCGTTTCGTTTTCTCTCTGATCTTTTTTCCCCTTCTTCCCCTCTCCCCCATTTTCTCCTCCTGCACGATTGACTTCCCAGCAAGTCGTGGGGCTTTTTCACCGAATTTCGGAGGGATCGGGATTCTCCCCAGATGCAGAGATCGCCTGCAGGGTTCCCCGCCGGCGCGCCCTAGTTTTTTGACTGCCAATTGGGTGCCAAGTTGAAGCTCGCGAGTTAAGGGAAGCGGAAAAAAGAGAGAAGAAAAGTAAAAGGAAAAGTAAAAGGAAAAATGGGTGCTTGTGCTTCGGCAAGGAGAAAAGGGTGTGTCGTATTCCCTTTCCCTTCCAAGAGGAAGGTCGAGGAGAAGAGGAAGAGCGACAATGGAGAAGGTGGGAGGCGGAGGAGGAAATCCCGGAGACGGATTATCAAACGGCGTGTTTCCTCTCGCAAGGTTGAAACCCTCGATCCTACCCGCCAAACCGATCGGACTTTCTCTAATCCTGTGTTTCAAGGTTGGGAGAAAAAAAAATCTATTCTTTTTCTTGATATTTCTGTCTCGATTGAGTAAGTAGGGTTTGGGGTAAGTTGTTGATTGGCTGGCTTTGTTGTGAACAACAGGAAGCATGGATGCTACTTGGTGTGATGCTACCTCTGAGCTTGAATCTGAATGGGATGATGAGTTTTATAGCGTTTATGAAGGTACACAATTTAGCCCTTTAGGTTCTTATAGTTTGTAGCATATCAGTGTTGAATGGAGATTCTTACCTGCAAACAAATTTATCTGCCACTAAATCTGTAGATGGGTACTCTGTCGTCGACTCTAATGACAATGGTTCTAGCCTAAGTGGTCCGCCTCATGATAGCATAGCTGTCGATTCCGCTCGAGATGTCTCTCGTGGAAGCGGTAATGAGCAGCCCAAGCACACGCATTCTTCTTCGAGACTGAATGATGCTACTGAAAGGGAAGCGAATCCTGCAGCTGGAGAGGAAGTTTCAAGTGTGAGTATTGTGGCTGATAATCATTGTGGGATTCTACAAAATGCTTGCTTGCCTTGTATTCCTTCAAATGGTCCTACGGTGGAAAAGAAGAAATCGATGAATTCTGATACTGCTAGCTCAAAGAAAAAACCTATGCTTAGACTTTCATTTAAATGGAAGGAAGACCCTGTGCCTACATTATGTAAGTGTTCCACCACTTTGTACCTGTTCAATTTTACTTACAGAAGTGAATGCTTGCGTGCATGCAAATTTAATTTCTGATATGCTCTGAAGAAATCTGTAGTTTTTGGATATAGGAATAGGAATATAGGATGATGCATTGCTTACTGAATTCCTTTAGCTTGTATTAGTTGTTTAGGGGACATGGGTGGCAGTATTTGGCTTTCGACTTACTAATGGGAATAGTAAACAATTTGGTCATGTATCCATGAATAAATCTCCTTAATGGAAACTGTCTAGGCATTTTTAGTTTGAAGCAAACAAGAGTACCTATGAGAACAAATAAAAGATTGCCTTACCACTCATTTCGTTACCTTATTAGGGATTTTCTTTTGATTTTGGAAATGCCATCTCATATTAACAACTGTTGCTCTGACAAATATGTTATTTTACTCGGTTTTCCTCACCTCTCTTCTCTGTTCTTCTCCTTTTTCAATTTCAGTTTCTCCAAAAGGACTTTCCCAGAGGCCAGTTGCTGGTTCTACTTTTCCTCACTGCCCCATTGATAAGAAGATTTCAGGTTGTTGGTCTCCTCTTGAGCCAAGTAGTTTCAAAGTACGGGGAAGGAACTACCTCCGGTGAGAACCAGCATTGTCAGTTTAAGGATTCTTTTTCATTGTTTCATCTCTTCAAAACTGAACGTGGTTCCTCATATTGGTTTCTGCGACACTTCCATTTAGCTTTATTCAATCATAACCTTTGATGAATGTCTAATTATCACTCTCCGTCGACCAGTTCTTCAAATATTACACCCGTGTATGGCATTGATTGTGTTTTATTCATTTTAGAGCCACAATGTTGTCGATTGTTTTCTTTCATAATTATTACTAGTACTTCTGATTCCAAATACCATGAACTTTACGGTTTAAATATGTCAGATATTCTGTACATTTTGGATACCAAGTTGAGTATTCACTTAATAATAACTAACACCTCCAGTAATGTCCAGTTAATGAATTGTGCTCAAGTGGAGCTAACTGCTGTGTTTCATCACTTCGTATGTTCTATGTTTCCAGGGACAAGAAGAAAGAACCTGCACCAGAATGTGTTGCATTTCACCCTTTTGCTGCCGACATCTTCTTATCTGAGAGAAAAATTCCTCATATTGCTAGATATGTTGAACTCCCAACGCTTAGTGCCTATGATGAAGTCCCAGCTGTTCTTGTTGTTAATGTTCAGGTAGTGATATCTTCACATCATACTCTTCTCAGTGGAAATAGTTGTGGAACATAGAATATCTTTTCTCAGTGTTCTATCAGATAATCTTGATCTTCTTACAGGTACCATTATATCCTGCCTCAATTCTGCATGGTGAAAGTGACGGAGAAGGAATGAATTTGGTTATGTATTTTAAGCTGTCTGAGAGTTACTCAAAAGAGCTCCCCACTCATTTCCGGGAAAATATTATGGTCTGTTGAGTTTATTTCCATCTCTATACTTTGCCCTTTTCTTATACAATATTAGATTCAGCTGCTAATTTACTTTTCTGATGGATTTTCCTCTCTTCTGCAGAAACTCATTAATGATGAGGTTGAACGGGTCAAAGGTTTCCCTCTCGATACAATTGCACCATTTAGGGAAAGATTGAAAATTTTGGGCAGACTTGCAAATGTCAATGACCTTCAGTTAAGTGCTACCGAGAAGAAGCTCATGAATGCTTACAATGAGAAACCTGTTCTATCACGGCCTCAGCACGAATTTTACTTGGTAATTTCCAAATCTTTCAGATAATAAAACCTTTCTTTATTCTTGTCCATTTTTACTCTCGTCTCCATAGCTGAAATCTTGTTGGAAAGAACATAGTGGAGAAACATTATATAATGTAGCATTAGCTGCTCTGGAATGGTTAAAGGTTGGCAGTTCATATAGACGTAACCTTCACTTACTTCATGGCAACTTTTACTTGGCAGGGAGAGAACTACTTTGAGATTGATTTGGATATGCACAGATTCAGCTACATCTCTCGGAAAGGTTTTGAAACATTCAATAACAGATTGAAGTACTGCATAATGGACTTTGGCCTGACAATTCAGGTAACCATCAATCCGTTTTGCTACCCTATTTGATGACGGATTACGTGTTTAGCTTCATGGGCAACTTACCTTATCATGTTATCTCTTGGAACAGGGACACAAGGCAGAAGACTTGCCTGAACATATTCTGTGTTGTATGCGCCTAAACAACATTGACCATACCAAGTACAGCCAACTCGGATGTTGACTTGAGACTCATTTTGGGAAAATGGGTTCATTTCACCCCCAAACGACAGCCAAATATGCAGCGGAGAGATTAAGGTTTTGGATCTTCGGTCACCCATTCATCTGTACAGGGTTATGATGATTAAGTGTTGTACAGGTCCCCAATGGAGAGAAAAGAAAAGTTCATCGCCGCCATGATTCAAGTCATAGTGCTTAGAGATATGTCAATTCTGCTATCTGTGTCTTTTGAGATGTGGAAATCAGATGTATAGCCCTTGACCGATGTAAGTTTGGTTGCCTGTCGGGCTGATAAGTTCAGTTATATGTTGCAGAGCTCTTATTCGGAAAGGCTGATTTTCAGCCCCGAGAAAGTATTGGACTATTGGTTAATGAAGAGGATAAGCGAACTGTCGAGTTCTTTAGCATCTGTATATTGGGATTCTTTCGTTCTTTACCAGAATATGGTTTTGCAGAAGTGGTTGAAATAAAAGATGCCAAAGAAGTACAACCAAGTTCCTCTGAATTTTAGTTGGTTCATTGCACCGTGCTTGTGTATGAACTCTTCTTGTTATTGTCCGAAAAAGCATGGACTTCTAGGGTCCAATATTGACTCCATTTTTTTGTGCTGAGCCTTGGAAAAATAACCATCTTTCAATCAATCTAGCTTTCTTTGATCCATATTAGATAGTGTGATAGAATTGTTAATTCAAAAACTTGATCTGCATGCAGAAGTAATTTTTTTCGCAAACAAGGAAAGTGATCGAATCATTTATGTTCTATCAACAGGTCCTAACTCGAGTTAGATCAATGTTTTACTTTTACCATATATGCCAACTTATGAGAGAACTTTGTGAATGTTGTATTGCGATTTGCCAACGAATCCGATGAATCACAAATTTCAATTGAGCACATGAGGTTCCCCAATGGATCATGAAATGGAAAGAAAGGAAGGAAATGAACGAGTCCAAAACCGGGAGAGAGATACATATCCAAGGAAAAGAACCAATGGCGGATAAGAAAATTAAGGAATAATATGATACAGTTTTAACAATAATAATATTCATCATCATCATCATTTTCAATTATCAAGCAGTGGGAGGAGAACCCGTACAGCACCGGATGAAGAAATATGCGCCGCCTCCGTTTCGCCGCCGGTACTTCTGATCGCCGGTCGGCAACTGGATCGGCAAAGACGACACCCTTGACAATCCGTCACTACCGCTGCCGGAATCCCTATGACGATGATTCTCGTGCGAGGGCTGGAACTTCTCTTCTCTGCCGCTCCTTATGTTCCGAAGCAGCTGAATCTCGTGGCTCCTTCTCCCGGCCGTCGTCGGAGTGCCGGCGGAGATCGGGCCGCTGTAAGAGGTCAGAAGCGGGCCGCTCCTGTCGCTGACGTTCAAAAGCGGGCCGCTTCGGTCGGCGTTGAGATTCTCCCAGACCCGTCCGGAAGAGCCCTGACGCCGGAACGAAACCGATGATCTCTGCAACATTTGGCTGCTCACCTCCATTGCTGTAAATCCACCTTTGGATAATAATCAATCAATGTTTTTTCCCCTTTCTTTTGATTTTTTGATTTTTCGATATTTCTTTCGGTATTTCTTCGGAGCTTTTTGTGATCTCCTTACCTTAACGAACTTAACGGTTTTGGTTTTTGGCCTCTTCTGGTTTTGGCTCAATCTAATCCTATTTTGTTTAGCAGGTTAATTTCCTTCCTTTCCTTTTCCCTAAATTACTATTTGTTTTTTTAGTAATTCTTTTATTGTATAAATCTCAGTTTCTTTTCTTGTTATTTCCAGTTTTCCACGTCTTTATTTTAGTTTTTTGGTAGTATAATTACCTTCTTAAGGAGGCCTTTATTTGTTGAATGTTTATTGTTCCCTTTTCTTCGGAGGGCAAAGAGAATTCGTCAAAAACAAAAATATGATTTGTCAAAAATAATTTTTCCTCATTCGGTGATTCTCCATAACCTCTAGTTCATCAAAGTTGTTTACATTTCATCCAATATATAGTCAGATCCAGACGTAAATCATGACTCTTAAAATATAAATTATCATAAAAATACTATATCGAAAAAGTATACACAATTCACACTACCTCTTATGCACATTCTGACAATTGAGCAAACTTGTGAACTAAATTATTTTTGAGTTGGTGAAAATTCATCGTGAATCAACCCGTAAATTTCTATTCATGAGGTGTTGACATTTCTTGGGGAAAAAAAAGAGGTGTTTGAGTAGGTTTTAACATTGATGACAAAGCCCCCAGAATAGCAGGTAATTAGCATAAATAGTCACAAACCTTTGCACTTAGTACAAAACAGTCACAAACCTTTAATTTGTAACTATTTGATAACAAAACTTTTTACTTAGAACAAAATGGTCACAAATTAAACAGTGTGACCATTTCACACTAGTTCAAACTTTTGTTACCGTGTCGTTGCAAATTAGACTTTTGGTAACCGTTTTGTACAAATTAAGTTCAAAAGTTTGAACGCTCAATCACCGTTACAATTCGCTCTAGTTGTATGGTGGTTTTGTTAATGTATGTGAATGATATGATCGTCATTGAAAGGTAACAAAAGTGTCGATGAACACATGGCCTGACATCTTATAGTTGAAAAAATGGTCAACTGAGGGCATTCTTATTCGGCAAAGCAAATATGTCGATGAACACATGGCCTGACATCTTATATTTCGTTCAAGTGGTTATGTCATATACTTAACGAACAAACTACCCGACCTCAAAACATGACAAACATTTAATTTGTAACGATTCGGTAACAAACCTTTGCACTTAAAACAAAACGGTCACAAATTAAATAGCGGTGACCATTCTATACAATTTCAAAGTTTTGTTACCGTATTGTTATAAATTAAAGATTTGTGACCGTTTTATACTAAGTGCAAAGGTTTGTTACCATTTATGCTAATTACCCCAAAATAGCCATCATGCCAATATCAAGTAACATTTCTTTCCTTCTTGTCATGAATGGGTCACTCATCCAATCAAGCATATGATCGAAACCGTGTCCTCGTGTCCTGGTCAACTATAATCCACTCATGTAATGTCAATCTCCATATTCAAATTTTAACGGGATATCATGATCCACACTTTATTTATTACTTTCAAAAGATAAAATTACCTATGTAGTACTATGATCAAGTAAAAGGTATGGTTGCAACTTCTAATGTGTCAATAATGTTTCCCACTCCATATACTAAGGGGTCGTTTGGAGGTTGAGATTTGAAGTGAGGTATTTAGCAAATACATGTAATGATAAGATTAAGTCGTTTTTTTGTTCACTTTGAGTTAGAATGCATGCATTATCTTTTTGTTGGGCCCACCTACAATCACTCAAAATGAATGATTATAAATCTCTACTAAAAGGTGAGATTGTTAATGATTATAAATCTTTTTGTTGGGCCCCTAAAATCCGCATATACTACCTTAGTACCTAACAATTCTTTCCGCCAAAAGGCAAAGAGGAGGAAGAAGAAGGGAGAGGAAAAACTCGTCATGCTACTTTTACCTCCTTTTGTTCCCCATCCTTGATACATATATGCCTTCTGGAAATAAGCTTGACGTGAATTCGTCACCACAAAGGAAAACAAAAAGATAAGCTAATGAAGTCTAAAGCAGAACAAAAAACAGAGTTAACATCAATTAATCAGTAATCAAAAGCAAGACGATCCAAAAGCTGAGGAAACTGTGACTGCATCATCTCCCTCTCCTTGTCCAACATGCTCTCCACAAACGAACTACTTCCACCACCACACAATGCACCTACCATGTCATCACCATCACTTCGGGCTGAGAAATCTGCTGCTGCTACTGATGGTGGTGGTACTAATTCTGCTGATGGCCCTTCCTCAATTGCCTTCTCTTCATCATGCTCATGCTGGAAACCTGACGAAGATGCCAGCGTCGAATCGCTCACCAGAAACTCCCTCCACATCAACCCTTGAGTAGTTTGAGCCTCCACTTGCTGCTGCTGCTGCTGCTGACATGATGACGAGAACGATTCTCTTGGCGAGCCAAGAAACGTTTCGGCAGAAGGCAGGGGAGATGATGAGGCAGAGGCGGAGGCAGAGAAGTCCCAGGACAGAAACGTTTCGGCGGCAGCAGATGGTGGTGGCGTGAGGGAGAAGAAACCATTGTAATTGTCCTGTTGAGGTGTATGGTCATTGTTGTTGTTGTTGGCCATCATTATTGTGCTGTTATTGGAGCAAGATGAGGTTGGTGTTGCTGTGGTAGAAGAAGAAGGTGGTTCTGGTTTGAAGGCTTTTCTCATAAAGGGACCAGCTTGGTGGGTTGCTGAATTGGTTGTTGTATTTGGGCTTGGAGGGATGTTGATGCCACTTATGTTGCCGAAATCGTTGAGGATCTTGGAGATGGGTTTGTGGGTTATCGGGTCGATCCCGATCTTCTGCAGCTTCTTCTTCAGTTTGGTGTTCCAGTAGTTCTTCACGTCGTTGTCTGTTCTCCCTGGCAGCTGCCTTGCTATCACTGACCACCTGTTGCAGCAGTTAAAACAGGTCAGTGAGGTGAAATTAATAACACGTTAAAGATCCTTTCTTTTTTACAGTTTAGTTGTTTGTAATGTGATTTACCTGCTGCCAATGGCTTCATGGAGTCTGATAATGAGCTCTTCTTCTTCAGGAGTGAAGTTGTCATGTTTCAGATCAGGTCTCAAGTAATTAGTCCATCTCAGCCTGCAACTCTTTCCACATCTATTCAGTCCTGTTAAAGAAAAAAGGATTAAGAAAGTAGACCCTAATAAGTGCAAGAAACCATCATCAAGTTCACTAATCTAAAATGATAATGTGGGGGATAAATTAAGTTAAAATGGGCACCATCTGAATAAAGAGAAAAAAAGGGTACCAGCTTTCTTGGGGACTAAGGTCCAGTTGCCAATGCCATGGGTGGCTACATAAGCAAGGATCTTGGCATCTTCCTCAGGAGTCCAAAGCCCTCTCTTCACATTAGACTTGTCACAGCATGGAGGCCTTCCCATTGTGATGAATGAAGGGATGAATGGCTGCAATGGTGATGGTGGGTTTCTTTTCTTTCTTGGGAATCTATGGTGGTGTAATGGTGATGCAATTAGAGTCGTGAATATATTACAGAGGGTGCTGCTGATGAGAGGGAGAAAGAAAGAGAGAATGGGGGAAGAAAACGTTTAACTAGTGAATGGGAGAGAGAGAGAAGGAAGAGGCAAGAACTGCATGGAAATTGGAGGAGCTTCTCTTCTCCCCCGTATTAGCAACATTTGCATGATATATATTCCTTCTTCTGTTAGTATGAAAGAAAATGAATAGGGGAGAAATTACAGTTGTTTCTCTCACATAATTTTGATAGAAAATGGCGTGAATGCATGCTTGTTTGCCTTCTTTCTCTCTCTTGCATAGCATCATTCATATGCTTGGCTCTATCCCACAGTTTATTCACTTGGGTTGGTTCTCTTGGAGTGAGCTCACTCTCATATTAATTCCCTCTGTTTCAACTCCATTTGATTATCCAATGTTGTTAGGGGTGTCAATGATTCAATTACATCAAACCAAGTCGAATCGGACGATATTAAAGTCCAATTTAATCCGATTGTGAAACTCAAATTCACTGCTAGATTTTCTCAAGAATATAGTCAAAAGCCATATGGAATCAAAACCTAAACCAGACCAAATTGATTTGAGTGTAATTTTGATTCACTTTTGACTCCAACAAATCAAATAAGACTCCAATCAACGATCCAATATATCAATCAGACGAGAGCGATTTGATTCCTCAAAGTCGTCGTATTATCTTCTCATGTAAACAAAAGAAAAACATAACACAATGAGCCAAAAATCGAACCGTACCGAATTATATAGAATGCACTTTCACTTTCTGACACAATCTTGATACTTATTTACCCTTTATTTTCGATACGATATCCTGATTCAATATAATTCTCAGCCTGAATCAGATCATGCCCACCGGTAAACGCTGTTGCTGTTTAACAATGTCACTTACCAGACCTGCTGATTAAGAATGTCACTTACCAGACCTGCTGTTTAAGGATGTCACTTACCAGACCTACAGATACCAACTTCATTTCTTACCCTTTTCACTGTAAACGACTGTGACTGATGCTCTATAACATTATCAAGTTCGGTGCGAACATACCTGCCAAAATGATATCTACACCTACAGCGCATTATAATAGAGCTACCCAAAGCCTTGATTCCGTTCTCATGTCAATGGACTACACTGAGCTCACTCCCTCTCTCTCTGTGCCTTTCTCCTGAGAAGAGCAGACCTTGCAACTCTTCCTACAGAATCCACTGTACTCATCAGAACCAACCATATACTTGGGATTCTTCTCACACTCCCCCGCTTTGGCCCACTTCTCACAGTTTTCATTCTCATCGCTGCATTCTGCATGGCCGCCTTCACCGTGTATGGATTCCTCAAATGATCTGACATGGATCCACTTTGTTGCCGACCACTTCTCTCCCTCTATAACAGGGCAGCTCCCATGCAGACTGAGTGGATCAGTCGTTGCATCAGGGTGGAGACTGAAGAACAGTAGTGCATCGCCCTTCTCGGGCTTCACTGCAGAAGTATTGGGCAATAGCAAGTTTCATCAGATTCAGAGTCCAAGCAGTGAATAAAACAATACAATTATGCTTAGCTCCACGATATATTCACTGGGCCTATGCAGAAAAAGAGCAAAGCAAATTACATCCATTTAGTGCAACTCGTAGGCATCTGTTTAAAAGAAACAGAATATCATTTTGTTCACAAATCAAGCTACTGGGGCGACTATTCTAAATGACGAGGTAAGAAAATGTTCAATCGTGCTTTGCGAAGGCAATAAAGACTGTTTCTGACACTGTCTGGTGAACAAACATATACCATCTAATAAGATATTCCTCCTCTTAAATTTAAGTTCATTTTCTCCTAATCTGTTCTAGGTTCATAGATGTAGTCAAAATGACATACGATAATGAAACTGAATTTGCAAGAGAGTGAGTTCATGCACGGATAATTTCATATACAAAACTATAACTTCAAATATAAGGTAGTACCTGAATAACCATCCTTGGCACAATCAGACAAGTCGTCAGCCTTGGGTTGAGATTCCTTTCCCTGTAAGAAAAAGACACAAAGAACTTGTAAGCATCAGCCAAAAGCACAATGTATCAGAAATAGAAAAGAGAACCTTCAGAAATGACCTCTGCATTGGGAAATATCGTTTCTCCACCCTTTGCTACGTTAGACAAATACATCAACACGGTGGCAATCCGGTGTCCACCAAGCGCCTGATTAGCCTTGTCATGGAAATAGTCAAAATGTGGTTCATACTTCTGACCAAGCTCATAGCGTAAGATTTGAATTGCCTCTCCATTTTCTGATGAAAAAATGCAGGTCAGGAGAGAATAGAAAGAATATGCTTTCTGCTCACACAGAAGCTGGTAGAGAAGGCTGTGCAATGTATATGAACATATACCTACTGGAAGGAAAGTCCAAGCAGCAATCCTCTGCTCGATAGCAGCAACCACTTCATCCTTCACAATTCAAGCCAGAGCTCAATCATAAACAAGAAATGGAATTCGCGAAGCAAAGTAGCAGTAGCTAAAATAGTTCCCAACAAATTGGCCAATCAACCATTGTCACAGTAAAGTCCCATACACAAATCAGGCTCAAGTCGAATCAAAATTGAGAAGACCCACCTGATATTTCGACAGAAAAGTTCCAGAGCTTGTTCTGACTTCACTCTCTATACTCTTCCCCGAATCATTATCTGCTACCATTGATTTCTCAAGCGAGTCCTTAGCCTATCAATCGAGAATCCAAACATACACAGAAAGACTATTCCGATTCAAACTTCGCACATTTCCCACCTCTATTTGAATGAAATTCGCAAGAAGAGGAGCAGAAGAATCAACATTGGCCAATTACCAGTTCGATAAGGTGATCGCACTCGGCATCTGACAGAAACCCTTTGTAAAGAAAGGCCCTGTTCGTCAAGATCAAGAATTAAGAGAGAGTTAAGGCACATGAGATATCAGTTAAGAAGGGATCAAGAGAACAGAATAAGGACGAAAGTTCAGACCTTGGACGCCATGAGAGCTGAGTGACGCGGGTGGGATCAAATGATTTCGAGAACAAGCCTTTGTTCAATCGCAGAACTGACCCCTCTCTTCAAAAAATACAAGAAACCAAACAGGTGATTAGACAACCGATGCAGAGGTGATGTAAGAAAACAAAATGAAGAAATTTATACTGGCGGCGAGGGTACATTTCGTCAGAGAAGGCACAGCGAGGGGAAATCAAGAGGAAACACAGAGAGGCCGCCAGGATATGAAGGCCGGACCGGAACTCCATTGACGATAGAATTTTGCTGCCAGTCGGAGTTGTGAATTGGGGAAAACAGCGCGTCGAATTTTGGGTTTTACAGGGTTTTCTTTGTCTTTAATGCTTTCGGGACTGAACGGGTGGAGGACAGGAATGCGGGCAGCAGGCCGCAGCGAGTGGGAACTGGGAACAACGAACGAACAAGGAAAGGAACCGAGAAAACTGTGGGTGAGATTCGGGAAAGGCAATGAGACGGCGTCAGATCAATTTATCGCCTATTATCGTTAAATATAGTTATATGTTCTTATATCGTGACATAGCTTCAAAGTATCGTATCCGCAATTTACCGCGTTTCGCTTTTTTCAGTTTTCACAATACAGTATTGGCATTAGGGATTCCGGCAGGAAACTCTTCCGGTAAAGAGACGAAAAATGGCGGTTTCATCGTCACCGACACTCTCCGCTCTCTACTTCAGCACCAATCTTCTCTCGAGTTCTCCTGCTGCGCGGGCTCCCTTCGATTTGCCATGCTCTTCCTTCGCTTGCCGCCGCGGCCATTACACAGCCGTCGTTTGCTCTTACAGTAAGTAACCACACGCTCTAGCTTCTTCGTCTCGTTATCAATCTCCTACCGTAGTTTCTTACCTCGACTTAGTACGCTTTCGGCTTCTGTATATGTGAATTGAACTGTCACTGTTGGTGCCAGAACCGAAGAGCGAATTGGCTACTGGAGATAAGAGGTCGTTACTGGAAAGCTACGGTCTCGACCCTAATGCTTTCTTATCAGAGTCTGCTCCTAAGGTTAATATTTATTAATTTCTGGCTCTATTTCAAGCGAGGGAGGAAGCGGGGAAAAGTATTGAATGTTCTATTATGTCGTTGCTTTGGTGTGGTGTTTGCAAGTAATTGATACCTCTATGGAATTTTGAGTTATGGCTTGGTTGTAATGGTAGGGAAGGAGAAGAAAAGAAGGGAAGAAGACTGAAAGAGGGAAGCAAGTCACGGACGAGAAGGCACCTGAACCTGAAAGGACTACCCACAGGCTGCTTCAGGTATGGGTTGCTTGATTGCTTCCCTGTGTGAGTAGTTTAGTGGTCAAAGACTTTAAGGATAGGACATATGAGCTCCGAGATAATTAGATGTCAGGAATGATGTCTTAATCATCTAGGCCAGGGTTAATTTAGTTATGATTCACGGATTCTGATCTTCAGGCTTGGCTTTTACATTGTTTGATTAATGATCTTGTGAGAATCTTAGGTACTCGGAGGAAAGGCTAAAAGAAAGAAGTTGCTTTCGCCGAAGGGGATGGATGTCAGGCCAATGATGGAAGTGGTTAAAGGTTCAGCTTTTGACATATTGCAGGTTTTACTCTTCCCTAAACTTCGATTTTCTTCTTCTGTTAACCAGATCATTTCATGCATTTTGGTATCTGAAAAAGAAGCTAGTGGGCTATGGAGTTGCCTTATTCATGCTCTTTTGCCTTGCTTGTTAGAATGGTTCTGGTATATACATGTATTGATGCTGACAGAATCTGCTGCTTTTTTGCAGGCAGCTGGGGGCTGTCCTGCATCTCTAAGGCCTGGGCGCTGGTTAGATTTGTTCAGTGGTACTGGATCAGTTGGTATTGAAGCTATCAGTAGGGGATGTGTTCAGGTATCACTAACTTAATTTTGTACAGTTTTTCCCCCCCTCTCCTCATTTTGTAAATGTTCACCCAATGGAAGTTTGTTTGTAGAGGATAAGTTGAATATGTCCGCCAAGAATGAGCTTTAAATCTGACAAATATGTTCTTTCTTCCGCTGTACTTGATTTGTTTATTCGATTAATGTCCTGTAGTTGAACTTGTTGCTACAACTTTTTCAGGCTCATTTTGTTGAGATGGATCCCTGGGTTATTTCAAATGTTCTACAACCAAATTTGGACTGGACTGGATTCCTAGACTTGTCAGTTGTACATGCTGTTCCTGTTGAAAACTTTCTAAAGCAGGCACAGCATTTTGTAGGTATGTATCATACTGTCATCTACTTTCCTAGAATCCATGATTCTTTTTAGCTCAGTTGGTTCCAAAAGTAGATGATGCATGAGCTTGGTGTATGGAGTGATCTCAACTTCATTGATGTAAACTGAGTTTAGTCCACCTTTTTGTTGTCGGGAGTTCATAGACCTTGTACAATTTGAATAAAAACTTAAATTGTGCCTTCTCGATCGCATCAATTTCTTCTGTAGGTGAGGACAGGACATTTGATTACATCAGTGTTACACCTCCGTATATGCTAGTTGACTATGGCATATTGATGGATCTCATTTCAAAATCAGGCATAATTGGAGAAAATACATTTATTGTAAGTGTTTCTCGTTCCTTATAACTTCTCTAGTTGTTGTTTTTTTTCACAAAATGTTTACATCTTCCTATGATGCCAAATTCCATTGGTTTAGGTGGTGGAATATCCTCTAAGGACAAACATGCTAGATTCTTGTGGATGCCTCATGAAGGTACATCTCCTATTACTGTAGCTTATCACCATCTCCTCCTGCCTGTGGTCACTTGTGCCTAATATATATTATCGTAAGGTTTAGCACTGAACAATTGTCTGCAGTCTAGATTTGAAGTTAGCATTGACCTAGTTCCAAACTGGTGGTTGCACAGTGGGTGGAGGTATCCAAAAGTCTTCCTAGTTGTGGGATCCTACATGCCTTCTATTGTCCTTTTGTGTTATTGATCTATTGGTGTTGTCTATATGCAGTACTGTTATCCAGTGTTTGTCATTTTCGTGAGAATTTGTTCATGATGACACCATAATCTGTGTATTTTCACTATCATAATGTGATGATTTTGTTATGAAACTGCAGATAACTGACCGGCGCTTTGGGCGTACTCATTTAGCAATATATGGACCCACTTGGGCTCAAAAGAAGAGAAAGTAAGGGATTTAGCTTTAGAAAATGATGGAAGTTCGACTGCAGCTGAACATGTGAGTTGGGTTTCAAATTGTTGTCGTCAACCAAAGCTCCTTCAGCTAATCCCAGGTCTTGAGACAGCAGCTTAGATTGTTCTATAAGGTACTCTTTCTTGTTACGGACTTATGGTTACTTTCTCCGATTGTACAATTCTTGACGAAGAAGGTTGTATATATATACACACATTCTTACAGGTTTTATGTTTCATTCGCCTCTTAGGTAGCCCCAGGGTTGGTAGATAAATATGGACTGCTTGGTTGACAACGCTACGAGCGAACTTCCCCAAGTGTAAGAAATGCATATAATATTTATGTATTTTTCCTAAGCTCAAGGCTTATGTCATTCTGTACTCTACAGATCCTTCACTTTCCTTCATAACCAACAGCGTTTCATCGCTGAAACTTTGTCAAGTTCTATGATTCCCTAAATCCTAAGAGTTCACCATACGCAAGTCTAGATCTAAAGATGATCCAAATCTTGCAATTAATCTGGTCAAGTATTTCTAGGAATGTACTTATTTTCCAGTGCTGTTGTCAAACGTTCGTTCCAGCTGCTTCTCCTTTCTGTTTAAGATACACAGGCATAAGGCATTGTCATAGAACATGATAAGCTTCTAAGCATCTGCCTTTTGCTTTTCGTATCAGTTTGGGTTCTTTTCTTGTCTTTTCCAAAATTTATCCAACTATTTCAATTCAGTGGGGCAGGGGGACCACACCAATGAACTTACTAAAGTGGGGTTAGGAAAAAAGCACATGGTATGGATTCTTAAGAGTTAAAGAAAAGGAGGAGGGATATATGCAAGAGTGAGGAAAAACCATATAAAGGAGATGAAATACACACGTAACCTGTGCTAAGGTTCTATATCAGCCGGTGGCATGAATCTATTATGTCTTAATCAAGTTGGACCATTGCTAGTCCATCTGGGGCTTGAATGTGTGCCAGTCATATGCAAGTTGAATGAGATGTTGAAAGACAGTTCTTTGCATATAGCAAACCTCTGATTAAACCAAAAGGAAAGAGTTATGGTTCTGTCTTGTTGTAGTAACTTGAATAGTTTTCTATCCCATCCAACTGTCCCTTAGAGAGATATTTTTCCGTTAATGTTCCGACTCCTAGATAGGCCGACATGGATGATTGTTGTGTTAAGAAAGCAATTCAGCTTCGAATAATTCACTAGGCATATTTTCTTCCGGTTGATTCTATACATTGAGATCGTGTTAAATGTTAATGCAGATCTTACGGTGTTGCTTCCTGTGACATGGTAAGCTACAGCTTCCTTGCACTGTCACACAGGATGAAGCATCACCATCATTTTCATATTGTTGCTGCAAAGTAGCCAGTTTCTCCCAACCCAAAAAAATAAAGTACCGTTTCCTTTTTCAGTTGTTGTGAGCTCTTTTTAGGATCACCCATTAACTAGATGATCTTGCAGATTTGTATTGTTATATTTTAGAATCAAACTGTTGGCTTGGTCCACCACCTGCTGTGTGCTGAAGTTTGTTTCCTTCAACTGTCATTCTCAGCATGTTCCTTTCACTTGTAAGATTTTAATTGCCAATAGTGCACTGATACCAACAAACTGTGTGTGCGCTCCCCTATGGTAATCATTTGGGGTCCGGCAATTGGAAGGAGTTTTGTCCACTGTGAATGCACTTGATATTTGTACCCTGGATTTTGTCTCTACTATCTTCAGCTGCAGTTTTGCTAGGCAATTCCACAAATCGACATCATTCTAGGAACTCTCAATGTGTGAGAGTAATACCACTTGACAGCTCAGTGCTTGAGGCATGGGTTTTAGATATGGGTTATTCAAGAGCACAAGTTAGTGATATCCTGCTTCTTGTGTTCTGTGAAAAGGAAACCACGCTTTCCACCTTCATCTGTAAACTGAAGGAAGAAGTCCTTTACTGAAAGAGAAAATTGGTTTGCCTCTTTACTGATTTTGATTCTTCTTAGTTAGAAGTTGGCGTTCCTTTATATGAACTGAAAATGCAACATAACTTGATCAGATACTTGGTTTCTAAGACAACTAGTACCCCACAAAAGAATCTCACTTGTGTTGCTTTTCCCTTCAAATTTGACTCCTTTGTGTTTGAAAGAAAGAGGATCAAATATTGAATGGATTCTTGTCTGATAGTTCCTTAATCACAGCAACACCCATCTTGTATACCAGCATTTATAATCATTGTGGTTCCTTTTGTTTCATGGATCTTATTTTACTCTGATGATTCATTTGTTCTTTTTTTGAATTATTTCATGTCTCTGGTATAGTTTCACTATCAATTTATTCCCTTGTCTCCCGAGTTCCTCTAACTATTAATTGAGTACTTGAGTTAGATGGATTGTTTTGTGGGGTTGGACCAAGTATGTACATTGATTTTGTGGGGGACTGGAGACACAAGGCCCTATGTCTTGTATTAGCTAATAAGCCATAGGAGTTTGAGGAGAACATGGGGTCATATTGGTCTCCGCATGAAAACACACCAGCCAAACCAAAGCAAGACCATGGACCCGTTCTATATATAAAGCAACAAGGGTAACGAACTTTTCTGTCTTATTGGCTCTCTTGAATCTCTCTCTCTCTCTCTCTCTCTCTCAGTCACACACAGGCACTCACAGTGTTGTGTCCCTGCTTCTCTTTTAAATAGAACCAATAAGCCCTACACACCAACATTACTTGCCTTGCTCCTCTTGGCTCCATTTCTTCTCATCTTCTGCTCTGGGCTGGAGGTTGATAGACCCTTTGAAGGCACCATGGTTGTATCAAGTTCTTTACTGATTGCTTCTGTGACTAGTCAAATATTCATCTCCATGGGAAAGTAGTTGGTCCGTAGAAGGGGAAAGAAAAATGGGGAAGGGTGGCAGTAGTGTTTTAAGAGTTATCTCTGGAGCTGTGTTGTTGTTTGGGGTAGTTTGGTTCTTGTGCGTTGGAGTCTTAGCAAACCATGCAACCAGAAAATTGCAGAGAATTGCAGTTTCATCAACTGGGAGGCATCACTTTCATGAGGGGTCGGATCTCAATTATGTCAGCAAGAGAAGAGTGCCCAATGGACCTGATCCAATTCACAACAGGTAATGACTTTCAAAACTTAAATCTAATTCTTCTTTTAGTTTTTTTATGTCAAAATGATCTTGCATTCATATTAAGGTTAAGCATTACCAAGAATCAGTCCGCTATAACTTCCTTCTGATCACTGTATCTATCTGATGCTTGTCAGAGCGGGATCTGAATTATGGATAGCAGAGTATGAACATCTGTCTTTTTATTTCTTAGCGTGAAAACAAAGCTATTAGTACTGAAGTATAGAACTATGCTCATAGCTTGTGTATAATAAGATATCTGGGTATATGAACACGGCTCATCCTAGATCCTAATTCGAAATGCATGGAAAGCTGATAATGGTGTAGCTCCTCTTTAGCAAAGCTTCTTTAGTTGTCAATCTTTCTCTTATTTTTATGAGAAATAGAAGCCATCGGGGAATGGACCTGGACCACTTTAGGTGATTTAGAAAGTCCCTAGTAATTGTATATCTAGCTTTCATAAACATTTAGTGAACTCTCTTTTGTTCATTTGTTCCATTATTAGACTAAAGTTAGCTTTGTTAACTAGCTGTCGGAAAGCTGTCTTAATCCAAATGCAGCAGAAACATATCAGGAACATTAGTAATGCCTACTTCTACTAACACTGCATCTGCTTTTTCCAGGAGAGCGTCCCAGTCCAGAAAGCCACCAGGTCGAACATAGCAAGAGGGATCGTAGCACCCTCCGAGCTGTGAGCCACTGAATTCAGCATCGAGTAGTATAGGTTTTTCTTAATACAGTTGTGTCATTACTAATCTAGCAAAGGTTTTTGGAGAATCATCGTGGTCCTGTTCGATGACCATCGGAGCAGTGAATCAGAAGGTCGACGAGGAGCGGCTCCCATGCAGCGTGCTGCATCTACGAGGAAAGAAAGGGTACACCTTTGGAGGGGATTCGTGTTCCTTTGTTTAATCAAAGGCCTCTGCCAAAGATGAAAGCTGCCTGAGGGGTCTTTGCTTTTGCATGGAGGGAGTGTTCCTTTGGAACACCATCCAAGAAAGAAAAGGTTCCTTTGTCTCCGTACGTGATTATATTCGTGCTTCTTAGTTTGCTTTGCTTTTGTAGAGGAAGTTGCTTGCTAGTATTCATCTACTGCTGCTGATATCTCTTTTGAAAATGGATTGGCTTTCTTTCTTTCTTTCTTTTACTACACTTTTGCTTTTGGTTGTTCAAAAACACCAGGTAAAGCGTATTTTAGCCATTAAGCAAAGGTGCCCCCTTTCTCTTTCTACCATTGTTTTTAGGCTTCAATCGTGCTGCTGTTGCTGTTGGTTTCTGCCTTTTCCTTTTTCAAGTTTATCTTGGGCGAGACCAGTCTTGTGGAATCATATATACTAGGGTTCGTTTGGAAAATGAGAAATGTTTGTAAAAACATAGGCTCAACTCAACGTCTTGCATGTGAATTTCAATCGTTGCAGTTGATGTTCAACTATTTCTGATAGAATTTGAAAAATGCGGAATGACACTTTTCCGAGAATGAAGAAATTCAAATATTTTCCTATCCATTCATTTGAGATTGTGCTCTAGTTGGTGCATGAAAATTTTCCAAGGACATGTAATGTAAGGGCCACTTTTCTAGTCTAACAAACGCATGAAAAAGTTGGGGTCAAAATGAGAATCAAGTCACAGTCTCCAAATCCCACAATAAAAATTGCACAATGATGGATTATTGATAAAATCACCTGTAAGTTGTAATTAGTCGGAAAAGAAAACCTAACTGAAATTGAAGGAACGAGGAGATTGCTTAGCTTGGTTAATTGCTTTTGTTTTGAATATGCTTTAACTTTTTTGCTTGCTGTATACCTCCTCTTTTTGGAACGTTTCTCTTTTGCTGGGATTTTTGGTTTAGATCTTTTGAATGGTTCGATGAGATGGGAATTAGGAATCATCAGCAGAGAGGGGGAGGAAAGAAAAAGGAAAGAGTCCGGTCCAATTCCAAGCCAAACAAAAGTAAAGTGTAGATTCTAAAATTACGGTGCCCTTCTTTTACCTTTCTTCTTTTTACCGTAGATGGTAATTTTTGCATGGGGGAAGCAGATTCCCATCTCGTGCAAACCTTGAAGCTTTACACATCTCACATGCATGGTCTCCGAAGTGCAAACTTGTTTTGTTTGCATGGGGGAATCTAATCTGTTTCAATTCAAAGCTCGAAACACCTTTTGCCCCATTCGGCCATCCCCCCAAATTTTGATCAATTTGGAATTGGGCCAAACTCCCAACATGACGCTTCCCTCCATATCCTTTTAACCATAAGCCCACGTACCAAATGGAGTTAGCCCAGCCCACTAAAGCTCCAAGACCTACTACCGAGTGTCATGTATCATGCCTAGTCAGTAGTCACTTTATCAGGCATTCACAGTAGGACAGAACCCCTGGAACGAGCTCTGTTCCATCGCTTTAAACGAGTCCAAGATCATCTAAAATTCCAGTGCTATCTATCTACACAAACAAACCAAACCACACAACTTGATTCATCACCAAGTTTGGAGTTTGTTTCTTCTATATGATATACAATGGAAGAGCAAAGATACAGAGAGTTTTACTTTGATTCACACATACAGACAATGAGAAGGGCTTATTCTATCATACAGTTCATAATCTATACATGCAGGCAAAAAATTACAACATTAAGAATGGGTGGCAAGAAGATCACCTTCAGACAGACACTCAGCAGCCCAACTTGTCTCTGCTCCTAAAAAGCTGCTACACTTGTTCACCAAAAATCAATGGGAATTCTTCGTCCTGCTCCTCGAAATCGAAATCATTGCCAATCATCTTCAACGACTGATAAACTCGGTACATCGAAGGCCTATCTTTAGGCCGAGCCACAACGCAGTCACAAGCAACCTTGAGCACCTCCAGAATATCCTCATCATGTCCCTTCCCACGGATCTCTCCGTCAATGGCATCCTTGTTACTCCTCCCCGAGCCACAAATCCCATTCACCCATTCCACCAAGTTACCTTTAAACCCTTCTTCTCCGCCACCGATAGCCTTCTGCCCTGTCACCAGCTCCATAATCACAACTCCAAACCCATACACATCCCCTTTCAGCGATGCAACCATCGTGTTTGCATACTCTGGTGCAACATATCCAACCTCACCCAGGTCCCCATTCACATAACTGCTCTCGTCGACATTGGAGTCTGAGGTCATCATGAGCTTGGCAAGTCCACAGTCCATTATCCTAGCATCGAAATCCTCATCAACCATGATAACGTTTGAGCACACATTCTGGTGCAAGAGCGGTGGCTTGCAGCCATGGTGAAGCCAGGCCAGACCCCGAGCGGCACCCAACCCGATTCTGAACCTGGTTGGCCAGTCCAAACCCGGCCCAGGACTACAATGCAGTAGATTATACAATGTTCCGTTCGACATGTACTTATATACCAACAGCTTCTCTTCCTCCACTATACAAAACCCCAGAAGTGGAGCCAAATTTGGGTGCCTAACTTGACCTAACAGATTCATCTCATTCCTAAACTGCTTCTCCCCGAGCTTAGTAGGGGTCAGACGTTTCACAGCAAGGGAAGATCCATCGGGAAGAACAGCCTTATAAGTAGTCCCAGTTCGAGTTGAGATCACGATGTTTTCAGGGTTGAAATTGTTGGTTGCAGCCATCAGATCAGCTAGCTTGAGCTTCACAAGAGGCTTCTGGAACAACGAGACTTGAACTAGCTTGTAAGCTCTCAACTTGTCGGCCCAACTAGCTAAATCATCAGCAGCAACATCACCTCTTCCAGCTCCATAACCTAATCCCTTCTTCCTCCCATACCTCAAATGGAACCACCACCATACCCCAAATGCCAAGAGCAATGAAGCAGCAGCACCAAACACACCAGCAGCAATTATAATAGCAAGACTCTTCTTGCTCAATCCACCACACTTCCCCAACGGCTTCCCACAGAGCCCATCATTCCCCTCAAAATCAGCAGAATCAAACCCACTGAAGAAATCAGGAACCCTACCAGTGAGCCCATTGTTCTGCACAGAGAACTTCTTCAACCTAGACAAGCTATTGAACCCATAAGGGATTGAACCAGAGAGCTTATTATTCGACAGAATCAAGCTGTTCAAGTAACTACACCGCGAAAGGTCAGGTGGGATCGAACCAGTGAGATCATTGTTCGACAAATCGAGCGTCACTAGGTAGGGCAACCAATTGCATATCTGGGGAGGAATCGTACCAGAGAGAGCGTTGTTGGAGAGATCCAGCACCGTGATGCTGCCACAGTAGGCCAACGAATCCGGGACTGGACCGGCGAGACTCATGTCCCTCAATTCTAGGTTTATGATCCTGCTCTCCCGATCGTTCCAGCAGGAAACCCCGACGAACTTGCATATGTAGTTCCCCGTCCTGTTGCTGAAGTTCCAGGAGCTCAATTTCGCTTCTGGGTCCTGCAGCGAACTCCTCAAACCTTCCAGGCACCTGACGTCATCTTCCACGACTTGGGAAACTGTTGGACTAGGGGAGAAGAAGGCGGCGATGAGCACCAGAGTGAGTAAAGTAACGAACTTTATGCTGTGGACCGAAGAACCCATCAGGGCGATTCAAGATCAGAGATTTCTACAGGGTTTTTTTAGCTGGGTTTTAAAGAGAAGAGGGTGCTGCTGGGGAAGAAGAAGAAGGAGAAACCATATTTGACTTTCAGTGGCTTTCTCGCGGCATGGGATTATGAAAGGAATGGGATTGGGATTCGGTAGTAGTACTCGATTGATTTAGTGGATGATTATATGATAAATTGTCACTAATTAATGATTAAATTGCTTGATCATGATTTGGTTGTGTAATGTTGAAGGCATTTTATCGCGGGAGTGCTTTTCTTTCTTTTTCGGTCTTTGGTTTGTATTTTATTATTATAAGCCCCCCACTTTCTTAAGCATTGCGTGTTGCTGGAATTAGGTGAATGTGACACCCTTCTTTCTTTGACTAATTCGCAAACTGAAGTATATGCTGGGTAGCGGGTAGCCTGTACTTATATAATATCAGGTTTGATTATTCTTTGTTCTTTTATTTATTTATATATTTCCACTTTTGAGAGATTAGTTGGTCATCTGTTCTGTTAGTATGACCAGAACATGAGTAGACTTTTCTATTTGTGGTTACACAAAGCTTTGATTAGGTTTTCATTTATTTAAAAACTTACCGGTTTCTAACATTTTTGGCAAATTTCACATTTAAAAACTACGAGAGATCTATAATTAATAAAGAACAAACAAAATTAATTAACATGACACGTTTGAGATGAAATGGAGTAATTAATGTAAGAACTTTGAAGGTTAACGTGCTAATGTGAAGCGGTCAAGCGGTACAAGGATGCGTAAACTCCTTGGAAAGTGACCATAATATGAACAACAAATGCAAAATTGTGCGATGTTAACTCGAAACGGATAATATATTATCAAAAAAATGTTGGAATTTTATATAGGTTCTAAAAGGTGTGAGCTTTTAAAACCTAGATAACATCATAATACGACTAATTTTGTAGCCCAAGTTTTATATAATTAATTCAATATATACTTGTATAGCCAAAACTTTCGCGTTTGTGTCAATAATAGCCAAATTTGGCAAAATACCACTTATAGCCAGCCGTTAAAGAATAGGACGAAAGTGGCTAGAAGTGGTATTTCTCCAAATTTGGCTATTATTGGCACAAACGCAAAATTTTTTGCTATACAATTGTATATTACCTATAATTAACAATGGAGCTTCCAAGAGTCAAAAGACATTGAATGATATTTAGTCCGCTAAATAATCCGCAACATGATTTGATTTCCAATAAACTTGTAACGGCCCGAAATTTCTCAAGCATTGTCCATAATCACAAGTCTAATATGATGGATAATAAAAGACGACCTAGTTGTGATCACCCCTCATCCATTCATTTCTCCTTTGTCATCTTTGTTTTAACTTGTATTCATACTGAACAAGTTTATATTACCCATCCATAACATTCATATATACTCCTTTTCCTATTCGCTAAATAGTAAATAATCCACTCTTTCCTCTTTAGACTTTTGATCACAAATCTCACCCCAAAAAAAAAGACTTTTGATCACACTAGATGCAACATTTGCAATCAAATCAAATTGTACCGCACCCCAAACTAACCATCAAGAAAATACGCCGACACCACACCAACATGAATATACACAAATTGACATTGGGAGATGCAAAGTGGTGGAAGGTAAAGCTTCACCGGCATTTCCATGATAGCCACATTTGTTGCTGTTGGGCCGGTCCACGAACATGATGCTCTGTTATCTATTTATCCACTTCCCCGTATGATTCCAGTTACTCTTCCCAGTGGCAAATGGTTCGTGGATGATGACTGATGGCCGGTAAAATAACTTTGTTTTTTTTTTTTTCTGGGTTTAAATACAAAATAAAAATGGCTGTTAAATCCATCGAAAATTATACAGCCAAGATGGGCTTAGGACTCAATAAGGCCCAACCCATTAAGATTATGTTTAGCGGGCTTTTACTTAGTGGACGGGACAGTAGATCTACAAATCGAGTACAAGCCCAGAGCTCATTTGCCACATTCTAGAAGTGAGAATGGGCCTGTAAATTCGAAACCCAGGAAGCGGGACCAAAGGGGCAATTCCGTAATAATGCGATTTCGTTTCAACTTTCAACTCTCAGTACCACACTGCCAGAATTTCCAAACGCAGCGGCTGAGAGCTTTCGCATCTCGCTCGTCAGTTTCTTCGATTCATCGAGCACGAACGAACGAAACCAACAATGGCTGCCGAAACCGAGGTTCATAGACATTCTCTTTGCCTGCTGGATAGTTTGTTTGTGGGAATGGATGTTAACTCTGTGCGAGTCTGTGGTAGGTGGAGAAGATAGCGGCGGTGAAGAAGGCTTACGCTGAAATAATTTACAACGTGGAGAAGGAATCGGCGGTTCGAGCAATGGCCGCTGAGATGCGAGCTCATCGGCTTCAGCAGGATATCTCTGCTACTAACGATGAATCACTTCGCCTGCTTGTTCGTTTAAAGCGGATGATCGATACCAAGGTATGCTTTCGCCCCGCTTTTGCTTTTGTCAATTTGGCCTTGCTCAATCCTGATTAGTAATGTACTCAAAATGGTTCTCTAAGTTGATCATTAGGTTTTGTAGGTATAAGGTAGAAATAAAACCGCCAATTTAGTCAGTTACCCAGTTACAGTAGTTGTGAAGGCTTGATTGGCGTTCGGCATTGCTCATTTTGTGTGTCTCTTTGATGATGTTTAGCTACTTTGTCACTCATTTGGCATGTTCACTTGTAATGCAAGGATAATGAAGCAGAGATTACCCTCACAAGTAGACAGAGGAAGATTGATGAACTTGAAGAACAATTAGAAGAGGCCGAGGGTGTCATACTAGATGTTAGAGCAGAGTTGGAATGGGTTCGAGATAAGCTGGACAAGGTGAGAAATAGCCGATGTCATCCTTCTGTGGACGAGAAGGTCTCAAAGTCAAGACCTGGAATTAGCAATGCATCACCGAACTCACCTTTGCAACTTGCAAGAAATTCTGGCTTGAATTACTTAAATAGAGCCTCAGCGAATGGGCAATTGCCCTTCGAGAATGTTTCCTCTGGTGGTGCTGAATCATCATTGACTAAAACAGGAATGGAAGAGTTCGGGATTAGTAGAAGTGACCAGACAATCAAAATGGTGGATGGCAAGCTGCTTGCTGGAGAAATGTGTCATGGAAATTTGATCGATGAACATGATCTCATTAGGAACGAGTTGGTGAATATACCGAATGATAAAGCTGTAGCGGAATGCCTAGTTGTAAGGACTGGAGGAACACAAAGGAGCTTCTATAGGGATGACCTGAAGTACAATAGGATCAGGAGATCACGTCGAAGAAAGGCTCAGTTTGCAACAAGTAAAGCTAAGTGTAGGCCCTTACAAAGTCGGCTCATCCTCAAACCCTATCAGCCACCTTCTATTTTCTCTCGTAAGAAAACTAGTTCAGCCAATGGGAATGCTAAACCCTCTTCAAACTTTGGGGTGACTGACATGAAGGATTCTGGTGAATTGGCAGAAATCTCAAAGCACAGTGATGGGTGCTTTAAGAATGAAATGTTAAGGTTATCTGGTGAGCACTCCCAAGTTTCTCAACGCTCCACACTTGGTCAGTGTAGGACTTATGCATTTCAACTCTTCAGCAATGTTAAATCAGGTGATGGTCGGTCAAAGGTTACTGATACTGTAATTGACTTGAAGCCATTCCCACGCTTAGATCCGGGATTGACACTAATCAAAGGTGGTGTGAATCATGCATCTAGAGCTAGAAGCGTTATACTAAGTACGAAGGTCCTTCATAGATGCGGTAGACTACAAGATGATACAAAAAATAGCATGGAGTTAAGCTATCAATCAGTTAGCTTGGAACCCAAGTCAGACAGGGAATATGCCAGTCAGCAGTGATGTGGAAGTGAGAGCATACGAACCATTGTTAGTTGATTGTCTTATCAATTGTCCAAGCATGCATTCTCACCAAATGCCCGAACCAACTCTTCTGACCCTTCCTGATCTCCTGCCCTTCAATTTTTGTAGCTCGTTTCCTTATTTTGATTTTGTGGCTCCTGATGATTGCTACCAGAAGAAAGTTTGAGGATTCAAAGAATGTCCAAGCCTACCTCCACCAGAATTTATTCTCACTCAAGGAGATACCTTCCAGCACGGTACGAGAGTTCTTCGACCTCTTCATTATCTATGTTGTTCATGAAGGGAGTATGGCAAGGCGCAATCGAGGACTTTCTTCAAACATAGGGCCGCCCTCATTGTTCTTCCACACTTCTCTTCATTGCACAGTGAGTGAAGTTTCTGCCTACATATATACACCACAGACAGTTTGAGGAACCCAGTTGACCAGCTGGATACTTACATTTGTACCTTAGTCTTACATAACTCAGTCTCGTTCAGCTGTTATAGAATTGGGTTGTGGAATGTGGGGATGTTTGGAGGAATTGGCGGGAAAGGTGTGGATATTTGATTCGGATCGGGGACAACTCGAGGAAAATCGGGTGCTTATTAACTATTTATTCAGATTCACTTGTCGCTCTCTCTCTACTGGTTTTGTTGTTCCGTTTACAGCGACCGGCGGTGCGAGAGAGAATGATGGATGGGTGAGAAATGTAGGGTCGTTTTCTGTCTGTCTGTGGGAGACCAGAACAGGCGTGCTTTGGCCTTTGTGTAGTAGCGTCACGTTTCAGTCCTTCTTTTGTTTATGCATCCCGAAGCTTAGAAAGTAGGAAGAGATATTCTTCTGCTTCTGCTTGCTAGTTGCTAAAGATGACCAGGAATAAACTTTGGATCCAATCCATGGTACTTTTTTGCTTACATATTATCATTGGTGCCTGCCATGCATTCAATCCCAAAAGGAAATGCTGCTAGCTTTGCTTTGTTTGAAGAGGAAATCATTGCTTACTGTTTCTTAGTAGAAAGTAAACGTTCCACGTGGCTTGCTAGGTTGTAATTGTAATGTAAGCGAGAGGTCTGCTTTCAGTTGGTTTGCGGCTGCTGCTAAACAGGGCAAAGCT